TCTAAGCGATCCACTTTTCGGCGCTCCAAGCGAACCCCCGACCTTTTGTGAAAGCGTTGATCAGAAAGCTGCGTGCATGTGTCCAGTCTAGTTTCTCCAGCAACACACGGCACAAGAAAGAAACCGCATAACGCACAAGACTTTTGCATCCAGCTTGGCTCTTAATCTATATAGCATGTCCAATACCTACCTACCTGCCAAAAGGCCGCCAAACCCACTCGGCGCCGTGCTCAAAGAAAGCTTGCTCGAACCGTTTCAACGCATGAGGGGATAGGCTATCCGAGTGATCTTGACCGAAAAAACACGTAGTAAAGTTCTGTTACAATTGCATGCGATGTGATCTGTTGCGATCAGCGGAATGCATGCCGGAAAAAAAAAAGATAAGGCGAAGCGTGGATTCCAGAGTAGCTTAAATTCTCGCAGTATGATGGCATGGTGCTCCACGAGTCCTCCCATGCCATACCGGATTTCCGATCGAAACAACTGTTTCTGTGGCAACTCTGGTCCATAAGACCCATAAATCGACAAGGCATCTGCGGCTGAATGTGTGTCAAACCTTCTCAACACAACAACCTCCCCGACAGCCTTGCCCCACACGCTTGCGCGACATGCTCTCAGCCTTTGTCTGTGCGCTCTATTGCCTATGTATTTTTTTCGTCGGTATGCAATGGTTCTGAGTGTGGCGCTTTTAGCCTGGGACCTTGAGTCTCGTAAATAAGTAAAACTACTAGACTGCGGCCAGGAGTTACGTATTTCTTTAATCTTACTAGCCAAAACATGCCAAAAAATATTTTCCAAATTTCACATGTACACTTAAGACCTGGGCGCAAATCGGTTGACACGTTTATATGTATATATGCGCATATGAAATCGAAACTCTGCTTACGTTCAAGATTGAACTTTTGGGAACGTTTTTAATGGTTGTCTCATGTCGTTCTTGAATCAGGCTGCAAATCAACCAGCATAGTAACACTTTATTTGATTCGGGTCTCTTTGATTTGGGGTTCAAACATGTTCAAACTGAATGAGTCAAGAATACTACAATAGATGGCATGCATATTATATACTGAGATTTAAACTATTTCACATCACAATTAAAACAAAACCCAAAACACCTCGCGCACTATGAGAAAAGGATTCATTGAAAAAATCAATGTTGAAATGGTTGCTTTGAAAGGATGCATTGGTATGCAATGGTCATATATGTCCCTGCCTTAGCTGATTGATTTCAGTCGTCCCGTCGCTGGTCCAAAATGATATATGATATATGTTTTACTTGTGTGATCTTATCAAAAGACCTAATACGCAATCCGCAATCCAAGGGAATCTCCATACATTCAGATTGCGCATACAAATTGTTTTCTCACTGCCGGGGCGCAAAGAGGAGCACATCACCAAATCTGAAATTTACATATTCCAAAAACAAACTGTCTGCATTCAATTTTGCATTTGCATTTGCATTTACATATTCCTGCATTCGGTTTTGCGACTAAAAAAATGCATCAAGAATCCACCTACGAAAAAAGCAGTTTCAGTATTGTGGTTCCTCAAAGAAACATGCATTTCGGAAGCCAATAACTTCGCACAAAAAAATCAATGCTGACAATCTAATTCGTTTGTTGCAACAAATGTTAAAAGGCCCTTTTGGGGCATCATTTTTCTGCAAAAACAGGGTGTCAAGTGTTAAGGTTGAAAATTTATGACAATGTCCTTTTCGTTATAAGAAGCATGAATTTTTGGGTCGTCAGTGTTCTGCAAAAGCCAGGTTTCAATGCTGACAGTTTGTTATTCACGAAAAAAACATTGGACATCACTTGTTGTTTACCAAAAAATGTTTCAATGCTATAATTAAATTAAAATTGTCACACAAAAACATCCAATTTGGGGGTATCAGTGTTCCGCAAAAACAAGGTTTCGATGCTGGTTTTTTTCTTCATAAATGACATGCATTTGGGGAAGAGTCAATTTTCAGAAGAAACGACGCTTCAGTTTTGAGAAAATTGCCTTGAAAAGAACTATTCAATTTGCAAGTGGCTGCATTGTTTTGAACTTGTTTTCCCTACCTGCCAGGCAAAGATCCGTTTATTTTACATCAGTTTGCTCCGTCCTTTTTTCCAGTTTTTTTCCTCCTCTTCCTCCTCCGCAATTCCTCTGCGCCACTCCACTGCGGCAATCTGCCTGACGTTTGCGAATTTGCAACCTCTCTGGGGTTTGCAGGGCTTGAGCACTATCCTCAGCTTGCTTTGGGGTTCGCTGGACCCGAAGACTATATCCGTGGGTTTGCAAGATTTCGGGGCTCTTCAATTTTTTCAGGATTGTCCTTTGCAAAAATTGAATGCTTATGTCGAAACGGAAAGTTCAGCCCAAAGGTTTTAAAACTCGAACAGTTGAAAAATCGGGTTTGCCCGGTGTTTGAAGCATATTGTCGAGAAACTCTTGGACATGGGAAAACCGAAAATCACGAAAAAAAATAAAACGTCCCGCATCGTCCCGCTCTAAAAGGTCTGGAATCGGAAAAATCCACAAGTCAGAAAAATCGAAATCAAAAAGTTCGGAAAGGGATTTGAAAACCCTATCAGTCGAAGAGTTTGAAAAGTTTTCCACTCTAGTTTGCTGGAGTACAAATGTGAAAAAACAGAATCTACTCAACCCAATTTGTTACAGAACGAAACGGCTGTGGTTGATGGTTTGGGGTTGCCACATTGCCTGTCACTGTGTTAGGCTGAACGTTGCTCATGTGGACACAACTCTTTCTAGTTGGAAATGTTCATCAAAATTACTTGACTTCGAGTTATCCCCACCATGACATTTATACATTTTGTTACTGGCAAATCTTCTGGCATTCTATCTGACATTTTATCTGGCATATCTTCTGGCATTCTACCTGGCATATCTTCTGGCATATCTCCTGGCATATCTTCTGGCACTCTGTCTGGCATATCTTCTGGCATTCTATCTGGCATATCTTCTGGCATATCTTCTGGCATTTTATCTGGCATATCTTCTGGCATTCTATCTGACATTTTATCTGGCATTCTATCTGGCATATCTTCTGGCATTCTACCTGGCATATGTTCTGGCACTCTGTCTGGCATATCTTCTGGCATTCTATCTGACATTCTATCTGGCATATCTTCTGGCATTCTATCTGGCCGTTGAGGTCCAGCTGTGCGCACTGAGCTGGGAAGGTCCCAGGTTGAGGTCCAGCGGTGCGCACTGAGCTCGGAAGGTCCCATGGTTGAGGTCCAGCGGTGCGCAGTGAGCTGGGAAGGTCCCAGGTTGAGGTCCAGCGGTGCGCACTGAGCTGGGAAGGTCCCAGGTTGAGCCAGCGGTGCGCACTGAGCTGGGAAGGTCCCAGGTTGAGGTCCAGCAGTGCGCACTGAGCTGGGAAGGTCCCAGGTTGAGGTCCAGCAGTGCGCACTGAGCTCGGAAGTTGGCGAAGAGCTTGGCGAAGAGTTGGCAAGGCGGAAGTGGAGGTGGAAGTTGATGCAGTCATGGTCGAGGAGAAACTGGAGGAGGAGGCGGAGGAGGAGGAGAAGGAGGAGGACAACAGCTCTGATAAAATCTAACAACCCTCACCTGGCAGGTGGGGAAATACAAATTGTTTAGCGGAAAATCCAAAGATCAGATCGCCCATGACTTCCAACCGCCCTTGCCACGCGGTGCCACGACGCTCCACTTCAGCACCGCCCAACACGATGGTCGTGGAGTTCTCCCCGAAGAAGGTCCTCAGCACAGTCACGTCACGCGTGGCCGAGGATGACCATCAAAAAGACAGATGTTGACCACACGCGATTCAATCAATGGATTGGTTTATCAAAGGATTGCTTTAAGGATCTTTAAGGGTAACATGTACAGGAAAACCTGTCTTTTTTTCCATCAACTATAGGGGTTTGTTCTTCTTAAGCCGGAAGAATCCGCCATTCTTGGGATGATAGTCTGAATTGAGAAACGCTGTGGACATCATCGGGATCAAATCATCTGCAATACACCAGGAAGCGGGCAAACTTAAGATGTGCCATCAAAAAAACATTGAGTCGATGCTAAATGAAGGTGATATTTCTTAAACCAGTTATTGGTCAACCTATTCTGGGGCAAATAAACTGGCACTTAGCAATTTTAGTGCTACTTACGATCAAACGTCAGGGTTCGGTATTGCCTGGGAGGAAACTCATTTTTGTTTGCCCATAGTCCCAAGTATGCTGAGACCCACGTTTCCAACACTGCCGCAGTAATCTCCAATGCAAATTGTGTGGAAACATCCATACGGAACCAAATCCATTAGTTTATCATTCATCATGTTTTCTTCCTGTGGGAATAGCTGGTTATTCATGCTGATCAGCGGACGCAATGATACTCTGCCAAAATAAAAATGGTAGTTTCTAATCCCCAACAACTACCATCAATCCCGAACCATCTAAACCTCACCTTCACCTCCCCACGAAGCGTCCATAAAACAAAAGGGTTGTGTCTGAAAAAGAGAAATCACCCGCACTATGGCATGTCCACCCAATATAAGAATAACTTTCATCTTTATGACTCATGACTATAATTTATCAATGTAAGTCAAATGTTTGAAAATATGTAAATCTCATTGTTATCACTACGAATATGTGTCATAGTGTTTAAAAGAAACTTAGGTCAGTAGATTAGACTTTCGACAATATATATATATATATAAATAGTGTGATAATTCTATGTTATGCTATATGTATGTAAAACATAAATAAAACGAGTAAACAAACAAACAAACAAATAAATAACATTACATATATATATATATACATATAAATAATTGAACAATTCAATAACAAGTATAGTATATATATATATTCATGATAAATTAGTATCACCATAATTCATATGTCTTAACTTATGTATTAACAGTTTATATTTAATCATGTGTTTTATCATCATTATCATTCTGATTAAGCAACGGAAGAAAGGTTATTCCCGAACAAAACATCAGACAAAACCAACCGCCCCCTGCAGCCGCGTTGCTTATCTTTCACAGTGAGCACCCCTTCATCCACACCTCGGTTTCGTCCACTTTGCTGTGAGGCCTCCATGTCCTAGTTATCTTGGCTGTGCCGTGTGAGCCACCAGAAACCCCCTCCAAAGTAGAGTTTGAGGTCAGAAATATGACTTTGAAAAATGGGATGATCCCCACTATATGCATTTAAGTCTCACAACAATGTCTGGATATTTGCTTTAAGAATCCTTTTGGCGGCTGGCCGTCTGAGCCAGGCACTGATGAGAAGTTCCACTGGGATGCGGTCGATGATCCTGCGAGCATAGATGACCTACTGGCATCCTGGATGGTGCGTGGCATGATAAACAAAAAGAAAAGGTAGGAAAAAATCATATGGCAATAAATGGGGGATTTCTTAAATAGGAGTACCCCCAAGTCATCCCAAATCAGACCATTTCGGTATTGAAACCCATGGTTTTGGGGGTACCACTATTTCAGGAAACCTCTATATGATCAAACAAAAAGGGACAAAGCAAGGGATGTAATGTTTACTCCACTAATATGAAACACCCCCAAAAAAAAAAATTGCTTTGTGCAGTTTATATACAGATATTTGGGTAAAGGGATGATTAATATTAGGTGGATGGGATTGAATTCAAAAAACACAAGCAGTTTAAATATAAAGATATTAATTGTTTCTGGCATCAGGAGGACGACTACACAATTGCTTCTCATAATTATATTTGGGTATATCCTGGTAATTTACAGTAACGATCACACAAACTCTCTGGTTGGTGGTTTTAACCATCTTGAAAAATATTAGTCAATGGGAAGGATTATCCCATATATTATGGAAAATAAAAAATGTTTGAAACCACCAACCAACCCCATAAAAGTCACCAAAAAACATTCGCACTTTCCGAAACTTGCCTGCCGGGGCCACCATTCCATACCATTCCCCCGGTCCCAGCGACGAAACCAGGCATGCCCAAACCCATCAAATAAGGTCTCATGGACCTGAGCCCCCAAAACGAAGGGATGCGGTTACCTACAAAGGACGATGGTGAAGTCTCTTACCTGAAGGAAAAGTGACCTGGATATCATGCTGATGAGAATGAGGATGAGGATGAGGATGAGGATGACGATGATGATGATGATGAGGATGAGGAGGAGGGGTGATGCTGACGAAAACAATGAGGAGCACTTGCGGAAAGATAACTGTGTTTTTACGTGCGGTCGCAATAACATACCTCAAATGGTTAGCAAACTATTGGCGCACGGCTTTGTCAGTGAGCCGTAACCGGATTCAAAATGTGGAGAATCGCTGGTCAAACAGTAGTGTGAATATATTCATATGTAAATGTGTATATATATATATGTAAATAAATAAATATATATATATATGTACATATGTATGCATGTGTGAGTGATTGAATGAATGAATGAATGAATGAATGAATGAATGAATGAATGAATAAATGAAAGAATGAATGAATGAATGAATGGATGAATGAATGAATGAGTGAATGAATGAATGAATGAATGACTGACTGAATGAATGTCTGTATGTCTGTATGTGTCTGTATGTGCCTGTATGTGTCTGTATGTGTCTGTATGTGTCTGTATGTGTCTGTATGTGTCTGTATGTGTCTGTATGTGTCTGTATGTGTCTGTATGTGTCTGTATGTGTCTGCATGTGTCTGCATGTGTCTGTATGTGTCTGTATGTGTCTGCATGTGTCTGCATGTGTCTGTATGTGTCTGTATGTGTCTGTATGTGTCTGTATGTGTCTGTATGTGTCTGTATGTGTCTGTATGTGTCTGTATGTGTCTGTATGTGTCTGTATGTGTCTGTATGTGTCTGTATGTGTCTGTATGTGTGTGTGTGTCTGGATGTCTGTCTGTATGTCTGTCTGCCTGCCTGTCTGTCTGCATGCATGCATGTGTGTTGCTTTCAAAACTACAGTGAATGTAATCAAATTAAACCCAACAAATTATAACATGAATCCCAGCGTGCAAAAGAAGCTTCACTCGTATTTTGACTATCTGACCAGGATGCCATGCCATTGAGAATGTCACCGTTTCCCCATCATATTGAAGCACTCGTTTGCATATAGGATATGCTTGTAAATGGCCACCGTACACACAGATAAGCCAAGTAGTGCCTAATCCCCCAAAAATATGCCAACATAAACCAACACTTGTGCATGTTGCACCGCCCAACAATTATTGTTTTTTTGTGGGATAAAGTCCACAAATTAAGATTTCTAACTCCCTGATGTTTAAACATTATTTGCGCAAGAAAAAACCATCGCTTCCCCCCTATATATCCTGGTATGCTTCGTCTCATCCCGTTATATCCAACTGTTCCCAATTATATCTCCCAAGTGGTTGGTTAATGTTGGATATATGTTATATCTGTTGTATCCCATTCTATTTCCTACCAAATGGCTATCCTCTAAACAAAATGCAACCGCAATCCCTATAAAAAAATGGTTGGGTATATTCATGTTTCATCATTTTATTCATGTTTCATCATTTTCCTACTCTACCTGATCTGTATCCTACTATATCTCATTCAATCCCTATAGGGTGAAAAGTCAGAAGCCTGGTACCCTAGGTACACTAAGATAGCTCCTTAGTGGGCGGATTATTCCCCAAAATATGGTAATAATACTAGTTGGTGGTTTGAACCCCTCTGAAAAATATTAGTCAGTTGGTATGATTCTTCCCAATATATGGAATAATAAAAAAGGTATATATTCAACCACAAACATCCACCAACCAGGTCTGACCGACCAAGCGCTGAAGTTTCGAGCCGCTCGCTGCTGGAAGAATCCAAACGCCAGCGTCCCACGGGGCGGCTGTTAAGCGCAGGGCCTTGGCTGGTGCAACAGTGGCTGGTGGTAGGGAAGTGCAGCAGAATTAATCAGAATTATGGGTCTTGGAAATTGAAATTCTACACACTTACTCTATCTATATATATATATATATATTATATATATATATTATATATATGGTGGTTGCCTTTTATTCCTTTAAGATTGTTTCCATTTAGGAGTTCTTGCGCCTCTCCCTTGCGCGCTCTTGCGCGGCCTGCGTTTCAGTCACTTTTAAAGTTTTGGAAAGTTTTTTTATGAGCATGGTTTCACAAAAATACAGGCATTAAAAAATTGACCTGGAATCAGTTCGGCAAGAAGTCTGAGATGGTGAGTGGGAAGGTGTTTCGAAGTGGTCCAGTAAGGGAACCAAATCACACAATCTACACATTTCTCCAGCAATTCCAAAGCAATGACGCTGTACCCGAAGAGGCATAGAGTCTGAGATGGTGAGCAGTTAACGGCAGTTTCGGACCCGGTTCAGACCCTTTGGGGGCGCTCACTGGGCTTTGCTCTGTTTCCGGACAAGAGGCTGAGCTTGAAGACGACCATTGCCCTTCGAAATGGCCCGGAGATGAAACCAACACATACAAAATCAACACATCTTTCCCGCAAGTAAAAAGCAAAATAAAGCAATGATGCTGTAACCGAAGGAGCATACAGTCTGAGATGGTGAGCCGGAAGGTGTTTCAGAGTGGTTTCAGACCCTTTTTGGGGGCGCTCACGGGGCTTTGCCCTTTTCACGGAAAAGAGGCTGAACTAAATGCTCCGGCAATGAAACCAAAACATACAAAATCAACACATCTTTCCCGCAAGTAAAAAGCAAAATAAAGCAATGATGCTGTAACCGAAGGAGCATAGAGTCTGAGATGGTGAGCCGGAAGGTGTTTCAGACAGGTTTCAAACCCTTTTTGGGGGCACTCACGGGGCTTTGCCCTTTTCACGGAAAAGAGGCTGAACTAAATGCTCCGGCAATGAAACCAAAACATACAAAATCAACACATCATTCCTGCTAGTAAAAAGCAAAATAAAGCAATGATGCTGTAACCGGAGGAGCATAGAGTGAGATGGCGAGCCGGAAGGTGTTTCAGAATGGTTTCAGACAGGTTTCAGACCCTTTTTGAGGCGCTCACGGGCTGTGCCCTCTTTCCGGAAAAGAGGCTGAACTTAAACACGGCCGTTTTGGAAATCAAAAGTCCCGAGAGAACGTAATCTTATTTCCCCTAAGGAAAGTGGTACGTACAAAATAGAGGTGTCGACTGCCCTATTCCAATATTTGTTTGAGTACTTGATTTCCAAAACGGCCGTTTTGGAAATCGAAAACCACAAGGTGAATTAAGAGAACATAAGCTTATTCCCTGTAAGGAAAGTGTGATAAAATAAGGGCGTCGACTGCTCTCTTCAAATATTTGTTTGAATACTGGAGTCCCAAAACGGCCACTTTGGGCAATGTGTCTGAAATGGTGAGTAGGAAGGTGTTTCAGACCAGTTTCAGACCTCTTTTGGGCCTGTCACTAGGCTATCTCAGCTTCCAATATTTATTTGCCTACTTGCTTTCCAAAACGGCCGTTTTGGAAATCGAAAGTCCCAAGGTGAATTAAGAGAACGTAAGCTTATTCCCTGTATGGAAAGTGTGATAAAATAAGGGCGTCGACTGCTCTCTTCAAATATCTTTTTGAGTACTGCAGTCCCAAGACGGCCACTTTGGGCCGCAATGTGTCTGAGATGGTTAGTAGGAAGGTGTTTCAGACCAGTTTCAGACCTCTGTTGGGCCTGTCACTAATTTGATTTGAGCACTTGCTTTCCAAAAGGGCCGTTTTGGAAATCAAAAGCTCCAAGGTGAATTGGGAGAACGCAAGCTTATTCCCTTAAGGAAAGTGGCACAAAATAGGTGTCGACTGCCCTCTTCCAATATTTGTTTGAGTGCTTGATTTCCAAAACGGCCGTTTTGGAAATCGAAAGCCCCAAGGTGAATTAAGAGAACGTAAGCTTATTCCCCCTAAGGAAAGTGTGATAAGATAAGGACGTCGACTGCAAAACCTTCCACATACACACACACACACGCACACGCACACACATCGGCAATGTGTCTGAGATGGTGTGTAGGAAGATACCCCCTGTTTCTGGAAACTGCGGGAGGAGAGCGTTTAGATTTTGTTCTATGTCCTCGTGCCCAACCAATTCCCGGTCTACATAAACATACATGCAATATATTTCAAGATATGATATGTAGGAAAATAAAAACGAAATTTGCATGTATATATATATAATATCCTTGCGCTCTCCCTTGCGCGCTCTTGCGCGGCCTGCGTTTCGATCCATATCGCTGCCAAGTTACAAAATCCTAAAATCAATTTTCCTTTGACGAATACTACGGGGTTTAAAAGAAACTCTCATATATATATATATATATATACAATTTTGGTACTGGAATTTCTATCATGTATGAATCTTATACCACACGGCGTGGTGTTTGTTTTCGAGATGCTAAAATGATGTGATATTTAAAGTAAAAGCACAATTCAGAATGTGGCCATGATTGTAACCACATGATACCACATGTGCATGTGACACATTTTATCTACGCTCTTGTCACAGGAATCACGCGGCTTAAGTCGACATCGTCCAAGTCACCCACTTATTTGAGCTTCCTCCGACTCATGGAATGGGATCGTATGACTTCATGTATCATCGGGGCATCTCCACTGGAACAAATGTACCATGGCAAGCGATTTGGAAATTAAACGATGCAGTTTTGGCCCTTTACCAGTTGTAAATACTTATAACCCGAGTTATGGAATGTATAATCTCATTTATAACATGTTATAAATACAAATACAGTTCACCTTTCTTCGTTGCTTCCCGCCTGCATCGCAGCGCGCTAGCAGGCCCCCTGTTGCCAAGGGCGGCAAGGCGCAAAGGAAGGTCCTGCGGTGGACTCCAGCAGCGCAAGCCATGCTGTTCTCAAAAGAAATGTGGTATTCAGCGCTCAGCAATACCGACCCCCAAAACCATTTCTTCCACAAACACATTGGTATTCAGCAACAAAGACATGATTCATGAGAAAACATGAACTAATTTAATCAAAAAATGTGAGAGCGAACAAACGGATTAACCATGAACAAGTTTGAAAATTACGGGATCTCAGCAAGGTTGCAGCCACAAGAAATAATTCAACCACAAGGTACAAGACAGTTACATTAGAAAATCCTTTTCAAGGAGCTTCAACCCACAATGGTTCAACCCTAATCTGATGTGTCTACCAAGTAGATGGGATTGGATATGGGCCGGAAATAAACACCTTTTGTACCTTTAAAAAGTAGACGGGTCTTATATTGTTTAGTCAAGTCACCTATTATATTGGGATTTTAACCAGAAACACGGGCAGCAAAATAGACAAAAGGCAGGCGTGAAACTAAACATATTCGGGCAACTACTGAATGAGGACACATGTTTACCTTTATAGGAAGTTGCTAAGTTGCGCATACTACGAGTTGCTCGACCCCGGTGCGAACTGGTAGTTCATCACCCCAACTTCTTATATGGAGATGCTTGCATATATGTACATATATGTGTGTGCACGTAAAACAAATATGCAGTAAATCAGGTATTCTATGGTTGATTGATCGTGGCAGACATGCTGGGCCATGGGCTCCGGGGCTCCTTGCTGTTCCAACATGGGGACGGGGTCCTGGGAGCAAGCGGGGCACCGGTGGTTTCATGGAAGGCGAACCAGATGGGGTATGGATGTGCAAATTCTCATTGCATGAATAGTCCTGTGGTATAATTGTCTTTCCTATAAATCCTATAAAATCATATCAAACGCAAACAAGCCGGGTGTAGTCTTCTAAAGGCTATGACATGTGCATAGAAGAGTACCAGGTATGACTAAACATGAATAAAATTCAAGCGTGCTCGTGAGACCATTTGTCTTGGTTTCCTCCTAGGACCTGATTCAAGCTGGAACCCAACATGTGAATAGTCCCCAGTAATCTAGCACACTTATGGAAAATAGCCATTTCGAGATGATTCGCCTATTGGACATCATGGTGTTCAAAAGCTATATTGGACTACCAAAAGGTATGTGGGATCAGTTGAATCCACGCCTGCGTCGCAGCGCGCATGGCCACTGCCCGAGCTGCCGCCACCTGTCGCCCAGGGAGCAGCCACTGGCACCAGGGCGCAAAGGAAGGTCCTGAAGTGCTGGAGCCAAGTCGTAGGTACTAAGCCATCAAGATGGCCCACCTAGAGTTTTCTTTTAATATCTAATATCTAATGTCTGTTTCTATTTTGTATACCTAAAGAATATAAAACTATGTATGTTAAAGGCATAAGGAAAATAAGTGTCTCTCTATATATATATATATTACACTATATATACATAATAAAATGTAACCTCAAAAAGACACATAGACAAGCATGTCCAACATACTATAAATGGTGTTTTCTCTCACAATTCCCAAGGTCCCATTTTTTCCAGGTTCAAACTTTTCCATCGTGACTGTGATGAACACCCCAGTGGGGACAGCGGAGGTAAAAAATGTAAAAAACCACGAACCTGAACCTGGAAACTCGTGGATTTGTCATGCTACCCCTTGCATATGCTCTGCTAATTTAACATTGCTATGAAAATCACAATGATTAATCAGAAAATATCTTGGTAAATAACCTATGATAGGGCCATCTGTACCATAGCCAACTGAAATTACGAAAAGGTAAACGAATTAGATCCAGTCATATCCAGTCAGTATACGTTCGTATACGTTAGTAAAACCCGTAGTAACCTTGAAGCAGGAACGACCCACAGGCGGCTGGACAGTGCTCAACTTGTTGATCTCGTGAAGGCTTTTTTTGTACGCTAGTGATGTGTTGCTTTGTTTCCCTGCACCCAAAATGCGTGGGATATCAACCATTTGACCCCAAACCAAAGACAAACAATGATAAAAGCACACGGCTACCAATCAATGGCAACTCTTTAACTCCACGATACATACTGGAAAGAAGGTAAATTGACAAAACATCATGAAACGATTTCATAGGTGAAATTGATGGGAATTATGTTAAAGCATGTAAAAAACGTCTGCCTGTGGTGAAACCAAAGTGGCCAAACAACATGCAAGGAGATCGGTCGAAGTCTAAAGCCCAAGCCATTCTGAGGGGTCGCCCTTGTTTGGTCCAAGAAATTGAATCCTGGAGCCCTTTGAGGTACTTATTTGGACATCTCCAATTTTGACCTCCCAAAATTTTCATACAGCCCTCCAGTCTTGGATACGAAAACAAGCTGAAGAGCAAATCATGGCCGAGGTCTCACCCGATCTACTTTTGTCTGAAAAACGTTAAGAAAACCACCGAAGTGTAATGGTTCATATAAAAGCAACGTTTTCCATGTTTTCAATCAATTTTGACGGGTTACTCCATTTTCGGACACACCGTTCGTCACAACTCCGGATCCGTGTCCTCGAGAAAGTGCAATGTCGCATGGCTCGCATGGCTCCAATGGTTTGAATGTTCAGATGGCGTCAGAATAATAGCAACACTAATCTCAATCTTGAAGAAGAACATACCAATCATAGTTTAAAAAGGCAAGCATCCCGCAGGTTGTGTCCGGTTGATTGGGCATTTTCGGGGAAATATGGGAATTTTCAGGGCTGCAGCAGTCAGTGTGATGCTTGTGAACTCAAGTTGAACAGTGGATGATTTGAAGAGCTCTGTTAAACTAGTATTTCAGCAATGTTTGATAAAGTTCAGCACTGTTCACAATAAACACTACAGCCTTTTGCACGAAACACTGATCATGGACATTTTACAATCTTCCTCATTCTCAAGTATATTGCACCATGCTCTCAGCTATAGAAATTCCATGTTGCAAAAGGTTGCAGGACAATTCCATTTATATAACCAGCAAAAGAAAAATGAGTAGCAAGAACCAAAAGCCCAAGAACAACTCATGTCACGGAAGTATATGTGCGCGATGGTATGGTCAGAAGCTTGACGCAATCAGAAGCCGCGGCGGTGAAACTTTGAGGCGCCGTGGAGCTTGGAGATTTGAACACACTGTTGGGTACTGGAGCATCTCAGTTGTGGAGCTATAACCAATTTGATCCGCATACCTCATAGGTACAGCCGACTTGTTGCAATTCATCAACCTGTCAAAAGCTCGATTGTTTTGTGAGGTTGCCCTTTCAATCCCCATCATTTCTAGTGAGTGACGTCGTGGCGACGCCGCTGGAATTTCCATGCAAAAATCAATACCCACACTTAAGATACTTTTGCCATCAGCTATGTCCACACCATTGTCAGTTAAACCACGATTCTTGTCGCGACCACCACTGGAAATATTGCACTTTTAGTGATTCATGATATCCCCAGTATATCCCACATGAAGTACAGCTCCAGCCCCGCGTCACTTTCTGATGTCAACGCCAAGTTCTGTGAAAATATGCGCCATTCCGTGTGGCTACAAAGAACACGATGCCATCCTATGAAACAACCGTGACTTCTAGCAAGCAATGGAAGATAGTTTTTCCTGCCGCCACACAAGAGACCTGCGCAAATTAAGCAAACATATATGTCTAATGGCGAAAAACCCAAAACAGATAGAACACTTGTCCACATGACAGGCTCCTTCTTCATTTCGATTGCTTGGCTGTGTGGCCCTTATCTTCCGAAACTTGCGTGTCGTTGTCATTTGAAGGTCCAAAGTAGCGAGCTTCAAACGACTTCAGCGCCCGCCAGTGGATCTCTTCTTCGGATATACCTCACGCTCAGATTCGTGCTGGACATTGACGTTTTGTGGAGCGCCGGCACCAAGATGGCTTTGTCTTAGGATGGGGGACCGACAAAATGTTCCTGCGTAATGCAAATATAACAATAAACCGTTGGATTTCGGAGTACCAAATACCAAATGAAAAACAAATATGAGACTAACCCATATTGCCTCGCTGAAGTACATGACCCCTTTGATGAATCAGCCAACAAACCATTAATATCAGTACCTGCGGCACATGAAGAATCAGTTGTATTACCTTGTCGATCCTGGTGACCCATGAAACATCGTGATGAATGCCTACATAGAAAGGAAAACCTGCTGATCTTGACTTTTTCTACTGCTCTCTGTGTGCATCCCGACGTTCTTTGCAGGGGAAGCTTCGCTAGTAGAAAAAACACTTGTGGAATCGTTTCTTCCACATTTGTTCTTTAAATCAATTGAAAATTTGACATTGCTATGCCCGAGCGTTGACTGCACGCTCGCGCTCTTGCCACTCTGCCTCAAAGCGATTTCAGGGAAACCTTTGTGCTCTACAAACAATCTCCATAGAATAACGAAAACGAGTGTGGACACCTTCATGCTTTTGACAGTCTATACTCTCTTATCTCTTCAATTGGATTTCGTTCAAGGCAGTGAAGGAACCCTCTGAAAGAAACAGACTTCAAACATTGGCAATCAGTGTCTGGCTATATCCAGCAAATGTTCATACATGCGGATGGAAAATGAACCATGAAACATCACATGACCATGGTAAAAATCCTCAGGGTCACCAAATCACTGTTGGACATTTGTTCCAATACCTTGCGAAGCTGCAAGTTAGGTTTCTGCTGACTGAGGCACGGCGAATGCGTCCCAGTCGACATGATATTTGGGATCATTTGGATCCGGGTACGCCCTTGGCTGCCTTGATTGCAATCACGGACGCCCAGCTGTGAGAAGATGTCAAGCAAAAAATCAAACACTTTGAAAGTTTTGAAACATATTGTGTAACATATTGACAAACCAATCCTATCGAAAGAATTGTTTCAGAACTGGCAGGAGCCCTGAGGAACCTGGCAAGCTATTTCTGATGTCACACACTCGAACTGAGGCCCTGACGAATTGCTGCTTCCCGGGGATTCTTGGCGTTGCTCCCACGAGTTCCAGTTGGACCACCTCAGAACACCGCGCGTTTGCAACTTGAGAGGGCTAATCGCGCAAGGTCATTGGGGACCACTTTGCTTTTGCATGGATGTGACAGAAGTACTAGGATGCACTTGGTTGCAGCTTCTGTGGCCAACAACGGCGAAAGAGTATGTAGCCAACGATCCCAAACAATGTCATTGAAAACAACAGCCTGAAAGTAGCAACCCGAAAATTTACTTTGACATGTTTAGCCACCCTTGGCAAGTTTGGGAACTCTTCTGTGAAAATCGAAATTGCAATGGTCTATCCCCATCTCAATGCATCTGAAAAGAATACATCGTTTCCTGCTAATGTGAGTGACGGAATTCATGTTTCTTGCAAAATATTCTTGTGTGGTGTGTGCATTCGAGTCATTTGATTGATGTGGGTTCAGTCGGTTCCATTCATTTTACCATTCTGGCCGTTGCAGCACGTTGCAGGCGCAAGGCGTTCCAACATTTTTTTGCACACGAAAGTACAAAAAGAGGTAACAAAACAAAATCTGGCACTTTATACATCTTATCTGATATGTGTACTTACAAAATACATAATATATATATATATATATATAATATGTAGATATATATATATTTATATAGACTGAATATGTTGCCGCTGTTTGTCGTTATATTATCTGGAATCTTAGCTGACACTGGCATTTACATTCTGTCTGACATTGCATCAGGCATTGTATCTGGCATATTCTGTCATTCAATACATCTCACAAGTACTTCTGTCATTCTATCTTGTGGCAATATGCGTCCAGACAAGGTTCAACGCCGACACACTGAGTAACTGATACGGGCTAGGAAGGTGTACACTATATACCACGAAGGTACGCTGAAACGTTGGTACGCTGACATGCTCCTAAGCTGGAGCGCTGTTAGATGTTTCCAGTGTAACCAATCTAACTGGTGGAATCGGTGCAGCTGGTGTAACCGGTGCACTGGTGCAACCGGTCTAGCGAATGTGGCTGGACACTACCTGCGCCAGCAATGTTTAACCTTGAATGCTTTCTGACCTATGGTCCGGCAATCTATCTGCCAAATATGATGGCGCTTCATGTGTCAAACATTTTGACATTGTTTTGACAAGTGACCTGAGATCCTATCTGACACAACTGCTGGCATTCTATATAACATTTTGATCTGACACGTGTTCTGACACTCTATCCGGTACAAATCTAGGCATGAATCTATCATTCTGTGAGATATATTATATAAAGCTTTGCTTGTCTTGCTATGGCTCCACAATCTGGGGCTCCTACGATTTGTTTCCTTTAGCGGCTGGCCACGCACGCTGGTGACCCCAGGAAGCCTGTGCCTCCTGTGCTTCTCCGTTCCGCTGCCACCTTGCAACAAGTGATACGATTGATTCTCAACTGACGAGAGGCTGCAGTTGCAGCTTCCGTGACCACCAATGATCCCAACCAAACAAGGATGAATTCCCTTTTGACCGTCTCATGGCTTCACACAGTAGCTTGCAATTCTGCCTCGCATTGAGTGCAGGTCTTGCTGTGGCTCCACAATCTGGGGCTCCTACGATTTGTTTCCTTTAGCGGCTTGCCACGCACGCTGGTGACCCCAGGAAGCCTGTGCCTCCTGTGCATGTCCGTTCTGCTGCCACCTTGCAACAAGCGATACGATTGATTCTCAACTCACGAGAGGCTGCAGTTGCAGCTTCCGTGACCACCAATGATCCCAACCAAACAAGGATGAATTCCCTTTTGACCGTCTCATGGCTTCACACAGTAGCTTGCAATTCTGCCTCGCATTGAGTGCAGGTCTTGCTGTGGCTCCACAATCTGGGGCTCCTGCGATTTGTTTCCTTCAGCTGCTGGCCACGCACGCTGGTGACCCCAGGAAGCCTGTGCCTCCTGTGCTTGTCCGTTCTGCTGCCACCTTGCAACAAGTGATACGATTGATTCTCAACTGACGAGAGGCTGCAGTTGCAGCTTCCGTGACCACCAATGATCCCAACCAAACAAGGATGAATTCCCTTTTGACCGTCTCATGGCTTCACACAGTAGCTTGCAATTCTGCCTCGCATTGAGTGCATGTCTTGCTGTGGCTCCACAATCTGGGGCTCCTGCCATTTGTTTCTTTCAGCTGCTGGCCACGCACGCTGGTGGCCCCAAGAAGCCTGTGCTTCTCCATTCCGCGGCCACCTTGCAACAATTGATACGGCTGATATCGGCTGATTGCCTGTTATGGGGGACCGCCTGTCACCGCAGGCGATAAAAATCACAAACACCCCTTCCGAGCAGGGCTTAGCCAGGAATAATGCAGGAAGGTCAGACACCAGAAAGATTGCGATCCATTGGTAAAGGATATGGGTAATGAAACAGAACCAATTGAAATGCCGCTGCATCAAACATTGGGACGTTGCTGTACTTGTCCCCACCATTCACAGAACAGTACCGGACAATCAAATCCAACGCGTACCAGGTGGATCATCAAATATTCTGTCGGGTGGTATCACCAAGGGCGGGTTGCACCAGCCATGTCAAGAACCCTGGCTGGTTGACTGTTGTATGTGCTTAAACTATCGGGGTTCCATTTCATTATGTGATACTGTGCAGGAGTTTTAGAGCGGTCTAACTCTTGTGCATAGGGCCTCAGGCTTTAAAATGCACAAAAGCAATGAAAATTGGTTCTGCAATAAAATGCCTTGCCAGCAAATTCATGCCCGAATGTGCATCCAACTTCATCCAATTTCGAAGACCTTCAGAAACGCCTCTTTAAAAAGGGGTCCGGAAATTATTTTTAGATAGGGGTATTTTAGAGTGAAGGCGCCCAAATATTTAATGTGTGTTTTTTTAAATAGCATTCTATAGCAACAAAATACGGTGGCATTCTTTCGTGGCAATTCCTTAAAATTCCTTAAACATCCTTTAAATTCCTTAAAATTCCAAAAAACTCCTTAAAATTCCCCTAAGATTCCTTAAAATTCCTTAAAACTCTCTAAATTCCTTAAATGTCCTTATAGTTCCTTTAAAATTCCTTTAAATTCCTTAACGTTCCTTACAATTCCTTAGAATTCCTTCAAAGTCCTTAAAATTCGCTGATCTAAAATGACATGCCCAATAAAACCGATATAAAAAGATCCTGGAAAAGCACTGGTTCCATTCTGCAACAAAATGTTCCAAACAGACATTTGTTTGCAATAAAATGAAAATTGAATTTTAACATGTTAAAAACCATGCCCAGCCCAACCCCCCAACAATAAAATGACTAGCCTGACTTCAATTTTAAATTCCAATACATTAAGAATTTCGTTTAAACTATGCACAAGTCACCCAGTTCTAGACTGGAAATTGCCACGGGGATCTTAAACTACCGTTACTACCTGACTTTCTTCGGGATCAAGGCCCCTTGTGCCAGCAAGCAACTGCCCGTTATCATCACCGCGGTTGCGCCCATCTTGCCAGCCATGTCTTCCTGGCTGTGGATCCTTGGGCGGAGCAAGCAGGTCGCAACATGTTGCAAGTAAACCTGGTGAGGTATTGTACTGTCATAGCCCATCAATGAAGAACCAGCCTTCAATCGACTTTTCCTTCATGTTTGTCCTTCATGTTCGTTTGGCCAGCTTGACATGCTTAGGAATGTTTCCATGATCCATGTCTAGCATTTTGACACTTGCCTTACATCATCACCATCACTTTCACCTGGCGCTAACAGTACAGATAAGGCTTACTGTGGTCCCACTGCGGCATTCGTGAACAGCAGAACCACAAGTTTTAGTCATCTGTTGTATCAAATGATCAAAAAAACCCTCAAACCCTTCACTTTATCTATCTGTCTGTCTATCTGTCTACCTATATGATCCATTATGATCCTATATCTGGTGTTTTGAGAGCCGTCCGAGCCGTCCCCGGAATCCCAGAGAATCTGCAGCTTGGATTCTGCACGTGGCTGCCACTCCGACAACCCTGATACATAATAGTGTGGTTTGTTTGGAGGGTACACTATTGTGTCCAGCTGCTTTCCTGATGTCATGATTTTTTGATTTTTTCAAGCATTTCCTTTACCTGTTCCTTTGCTAAAGTTTTTTCTTTTAATTACTTACTTTCTTAGTCTCTTTCATTTGAAATTCTCAGAAATGCCCAATTTCCCAAAATATATGATGCCTTATTAAAACCCAATTAAAGAAAACATCACGCAAACAATTTTTCAAGGGGGTAGTCCATGAGCAACCCTGATACATAATAGTGTGGTTTGTTTGGAGGGTACACTATTGTGTCCAGCTGCTTTCCTGAGGTCATGATTTTTTGATTTTTTCAAGCATTTCCTTTACCTGTTCCTTTGCTAAAGTTTTTTCTTTTAATTACTTACTTTCTTAGTTTCTTTCATTTGAAATTCTCAGAAATGCCCAATTTCCCAAAATATATGATGCCTTATTAAAACCCAATTAAAAAAACATCACGCAAACAATTTTTCAAGGGGGTAGTCCATGAGCAACCCTGATACATAATAGTGTGGTTTGTTTGGAGGGTACACTATTGTGTCCAGCTGCTTTCCTGAGGTCATGATTTTTTGATTTTTTCAATCATTTCCTTTACCTTTTCCTTTGCTAAAGTTTTTTCTTTTAATTACTTAATTACTTTCTTAGTTTCTTTCATTTGAAATTCTCAGAAATGCCCAGTTTCCCAAAATATATGATGCCTTATTAAAACCCAATTAAAAAACATCACTCAAACAATTTTTCAAGGGGGTAGTCCATGAGCAACCCTGATACACAATAGTGTGGTTTGTTTGGAGGGTACACTATTGTGTCCAGCTGCTTTCCTGAGGTCATGATTTTTTTTTTTTTTCAATCATTTCCTTTACCTTTTCCTTTGCTAGCTAAAGTGTTTTTCTTTCAATTAATTTCTTTCTTAGTTTCTTTCATTTGAAATTCTCAGAAATGCCCAGTTTCCCAAAATATATGATGCCTTATTAAAACCCAATTAAAAAACATCACTCAAACAATTTTTCAAGGGGGTAGTCCATGAGCAACCCTGATACACAATAGTGTGGTTTGTTTGAGGGTACACTATTGTGTCCAGCTGCTTCCTGAGGTCATGATTTTTTGTTTTTTGTTCAATCATTTCCTTTACCTTTTCCTTTGCTAGCTAAAGTGTTTTCCTTTTAATTAATTTCTTTCTTAGTTTCTTTCATTTGAAATTCTCAGAAATGCCCAGTTTCCCAAAATATATGATGCCTTATTAAAACCCAATTAAAAAACATCACTCAAACAATTTTTCAAGGGGGTAGTCCATGAGCAACCCTGATACACAATAGTGTGGTTTGTTTGGAGGGTACACTATTGTGTCCAGCTGCTTTCCTGAGGTCATGATTTTTTGATTTTTTCAATCATTTCCTTTACCTTTTCCTTTGCTAAAGTTGTTTTCCTTTTAATTAATTTCTTTCTTAGTTTCTTTCATTTGAAATTCTCAGAAATGCCCAGTTTCCCAAAATATATGATGCCTTATTAAAACCCAATTAAAAAACATCACCCAAACAATTTTTCAAGGGGGTAGTCCATGAGCAACCCTGATACACAATAGTGTGGTTTGTTTGGAGGGTACACTATTGTGTCCAGCTGCTTCCTGAGGTGATTTTGTTTTTTTTTCAATCATTTCCTTTACCTGTTCCTTTGCTAAAGTTTTTTCTTTTAATTGCTTAGTTACCTTACCTGCTGTTAAGAGGATCAAATAGTCATTTGTATTTTCTCCAATTATCATATGTCGCTCTTCATGTCGAATGTAAACCAAGTGTACAAAACACTCAGTTCCTTAGTCCACAGTTAGGAAACCTTTCTCATAATAACACAATCAAACTAGTTCGGTTCCAAAATGCATTGTTAATTCCCATTGTTTTGACCCAATTTGATAAAATGTGGTTCAATGACGGGATCATCCCATCCCCCAAGTTTGATTTTTGTTGTCCTAATCATGTAATAGATTTAATAAGATAAATGATGGCATAAACACAATGACTGGCCAAAATGGCCGGAGAATTGCTGAGCCAGAGCGGGTTAGCATAAATGATGGGTATGGTACATCTTTCCCAGCATGGGACCCACCTCTAACCAAAGTATGTCAACCATCAATGGGGAACACTGAAAACAATATCAACATCCAAAAACCAAATGTGTTGTTATTGTTATTGGCTGGGACCCCTTTTTAAACAAATACAGTGGGACATCAATTTGCTTAGTGTTATGGAAGACGCCAATGACAGGCACATCCAAATCTCACCAATATACCTTGACAAATTATTCGTACACTCAGTGACCATTGACAGTTCTCCCTTATGATTAAGATGGTTTTCAGTTTATGTTTCAAGAAAGGTTGGTGTTTGACTTTGGTGGAAACAAATCTACCAAGCATTGTTGCAAGAGTTTTGACGGTTGAAGAAAACATGATAATCATAACAAGATGAAAAGGTCTTGAACTATCAGACTCAGAATTTGCTATGTTCTTGGAGCTCATGAGTTGGATTCCTTCTAAAAAACAAACCAAAACCTGGAACTGTTTCCACACAGTTTAAGATGTAGCCCGAGTAAATGATAGTAAAGAACTCAGGAAACATTCGGCAATAATAATACTAATAATACACTATTGTTTTGGAGTTGCCTTTGATCTCATGCACTCAGAAACACTGGCGACTTATTTGTTTGACAGTCTTTTGCGGAAAAAAAAGATGGCGCACAACTTCAACTTTTAATTGTTTGAATAATTTTGAAATGACATATTTTCAAAAGTTTAAAAAAAAATAAAAAAGAAGAAATAGACATTGAACGTGCTGTTAAGCAAATCACCTTGGCCAGGGGGGGGGCAAATGCCCCCCCCTCTGGCCAACATCGGGAGCGCTACCGATGTTGGCTAGCCGCCCCCTACATGTCTTAACAGCACTTCCAATTTTTCACATTGGGGGCTTATTAGCTCAAAAGTCCCGGTCCGTACTATGCAGGAGGGGGGCTAGCCAACATCGGGAGCGCTACCGATGTTGGCCAGAGGGGGGGGCACTTGCCCCCCCCCCCTGGCCAAGGCGATTTGCTTAACAGCACGTGCTAAGAGTTTAATGTTATTTTTCTTTTTTTTCATTATTTGAAAACAGTCGGGAGCGCTACCGAATGTTTTCGCCAAAAGCAAAATTTGTAATTATGATCTTAAAACAGTCGGGAGCGCTACCGAATGTTTTCGCTAAAAGCAATTTTTAAAACGATGCATGGTCTTAAAACAGTCGGGAGCGCTACCGAATGTTTTCGCCAAAAGCAATTTTGAAATTATGTACGGTCTTAAAACAGTCGGGAGCGCTACCGATTGTTTTCGCCACAAGCAATTTTTGAAAATATGTATGGTCTTAAAACAGTCGGGAGCGCTACCGAATGTTTTCGCCAAAAGCAATTTTGAAATTATGTATGGTCTTAAAACAGTCGGGAGCGCTACCGATTGTTTTCGCCAAAAGCAATTTTTGAAAATATTTATGGTCTTTAAAACAGTCGGGAGCGCTACCGAATGTTTTCGCAAAAAGCAAATTCTGAGCATAGAACAGTTCCTGAGCACTAAGATTTTTTTGACCATTGAATACATCAAATTTTGAAGGCAGAATCATTTGTTTTACTAATGCAATAACAAAAATGCAATTTTTCAAAAAGGTTACATTGTTTGTTATTACATAACTTTATATTTCATGTGGAACTGGGACCACTCAGGAGAACTGCCAAATGGTGCACCTCAAAACCAACAGAAGCTGAAAGTCAGTGTCATTCTGGCCATTGTTCCCTTCCTACGAAATCTATATTTTTAGTCTTAAGGTCCCAAAAGGGAAGAAAGGGCATCACCATAACATGCACTTGCAGGCTTTCAACATCTGTTTTTTTACTGAGATAGTAATAGATAATGATCAGCCGCGGCAGGGCAGCCACCCTCCCCCCTCCACCCCAAATGGGGGATATCACGGGGATACTGGGAATATTGAAGGAATAATAGGAATAATGTATGGTGAGTAATAGGGATATGGTGGAAATATCATGGGGACTATTCAAAGACATAGATATATATATATATATATGATGATATATTGATGGATATACAATCCGGTGTAATCAAATGTGGCACCACCAAAGAAAATTGGTAAAATATAATTTGACTATTTGACTATGTTAAGAGCTGGCAAGTTACTTTCTTAGTTTCTTTCATTTGAAATTCTCAGAAATGCCCAATTTCCCAAAATATATGATGTCTTATTAAAACCCAATTAAAAAAACATCACTCAAACAATTTTTCAAGGGGGTAGTCCATGAGCAACCCTGATACACAATAGTGTGGTTTGTTTGGAGGGTACACTATTGTGTCCAGATGCTTCCTGGTGTGATGTTTTTTCAAGCATTCCCTTTACCTTTTCCTTTGCTAAAGCTTTTTTCTTTTATGGTATTACTATTGGATTTCTATGGAATTCCTATGGGGTTTCCATAATGTTTCTATGATATTTCTGGAGGATTTCTGTAGGATTTCTGAAGGGGTGCTATGGGAGTTCTATGGAAGTAAATTAAAAGTAAATTGAAAGCAAATTGAAAGTAAATTGAAATCAATTGAAAGTAAATTGAAATCAATTGAAAGTAAATTGAAATCAATTCAAAGTAAATTGAAATCAATTCAAAATAAATTGAAATCAATTGAAAGTAAATTGAAGTCAATTTAAATCTATCATTTTTTTTTGATTTCACACTATTGCGTACCCGGTACCTTGGTTTTTCCACACTATTCTGTATCCAAAATTTGTTAAGGGGGGGGGCCTCCCCACACTAATCTGTATCCTACATTACGAAACTGCCACATGTAAAATACCTACAAAGTCAGAAACATAAGAAATCGAGTGGAATGGATACCAAGGAGATTGAAAACCAAATCGCGCACACGAAAAGAAATTGCTGCAACCACGCAAACTGTGGAATACGCTCTCAAAGCCGCTAGCAACTGTGGAAACTGCTGGACACTGTCGAAACTGCGACAAACTGAAGAAACTGCCAGCAAGCACGGAAACTGTTAGCGACCATGAAACCAATCATACGCTAATAAAAGCCATCAACAAACCAACGGTTATTACGGGACACTATGAAAGATGACGGAAACTACCCGCGCTGCTGGAACAGATGAAACATGTTGGAAACCATAGAAGCTGCTTGAAACCATGCAAACCATGGAAATTCTATGGAAAACGTTCAACTGCTGGCAACCATATAACAAGCTAGGCTATGATTCCGCTTACCTAGCGCGGTTGTCCAGACTGCAAGGGGGGGTTCCTTAAAATAAAAGCGGGTGGGGGGCACGAGGGGAGGGCGCAGCGCCTCCCCCCGCAACGCGTTACATGGTATGAATGTCTTGATAAGTGATGTCGTGTCTGCACTTTCTTGTTGTCATAACAGCCCAAGCATAAGATACCAAAACAAAAGAGTGGATTTGCAACACGGCTCGAGAAATCGAAGCAGCCACTCAGCCACTCTGCCAGAGCAAAGTGGTCTTTCGCTTGGCATACCGGCGATTCGCAAAACTTGCGTTTTTGTGTATAGGCTACAATAAGTAGAAAATGCCTTGCGTCTCTGTCTCACAAGATTAGTTTCACGCACAGCTCAGGCATGGGAAATTCAAAGCAAACTGCAATGGAAATCCAATGGTTTGCTACAAGTCATGTGGACCCAGGTGGAACACGAAAACACGGTGAAGATATGTGATACTAAGACCTCTCCCGTTTTGGGTGGTCGGGTTTTCACTCTAATCAGTCCAATACCAGCAGAGAAGGCTTTGCTACCTTCAGTACATACGTAGCTTTGAAATTAAATTCAAAATGGAACATGTTTTTTTGGTTGCTGACATCGGCGTGAGCTGCATTCTTTCAAATAATAACCACAATATCCCAGGAAAATGCATGTACCACTCAAACGAAGAGTACCACTGCGGGTCGAGCACGACAACGATGTACCATGAAAAATAGCAAGCGTAAAACTCGCAGACGTAGATAAAAACCATGGAATCCGCGAAAATGATGGAAAAAACATGAAAATACCATAGAAACCAGAGAAACCGCAGAGAAAGTAGACAGACCATGGAAACCATAGAAACCGGAGACAGACTATGGAAAACATGGAAACCGCAAACCACCCAAACCGCATCGAAACTACACAGGCCATGGAAAGCATGGAAACCGGCGACGCATCATAGAAACCATGGACACCGCATAGAAACCATAAAAACCATGGAAACCATGGAAACCATGGAAACCGCACAAAGCCAATGGAAACCATAGAAACCGCCAAAACCACAGAAAACATGTATAGAATCCATGGAAACCATGGAAACCGGAGACGCATTATAGAAACCATGGAAACCGCATAGAAACCATGGAAATCATGGAAACCGCACAAAGCCAGTGGAAACCATAGAAACCATGGAAACCATGGAAACCGGAGACGCATTATAGAAACCATGGGCGCCGCTTAGAAACCATGGAAACCATGGAAAACATGGAAACCATGGAAACCATGGAAACCGCACAAAGCCAATGGGAACCATAGAAAACCATGGAAACCAAGGAAACCATGGAAACAATGGAAACCGGAGATGCATTATAGAAACCACGGAAACCGCATGGAAAGCATAGAAACAATGGAAACCATGGAAACCATGAAAACCGCACAAAAGACAATGGAAAACCATAGAAACGAGCCAAAAGTGGGGGCACAAGCGAGCCAAAAGTGGGGGCACAAGCGATGCAGCGGCCCTATGGAAGATATGATAGAAAGCAAATAAGGATGCACAGACGAGGAAAATGTTGGAGGCACAGACGAGGAAAATCTTGGAGGCACAGACGAGTGCTCGCCCAGCAAGAGCCACCACAAGCTGGGTAGGTTTTCAGCTTGGGTATCGTACCCCCAAAGTCCAATGAATTGTTGTGATAAAACCTTTCAACAGTGCGACTTTTTGCGGGTCACCCTGTGTTACGACAAACCCATATCTCTTCAAAACCCATCCAACCTGCCCTCGGCTGAATCTGTGCCAGGCACGGGTGTTTCTTGGTCCCAGCATCCATGTTCCCATTCCGGTTGCTCCTGATGTGGGGCGAAGATGGCACTAAACCTGAACCGTTAACAGTATACCACGTGCTCAAAAATCAAACATCATATTGTTGTTCTGTCCAAAACACCAATGGAAATGATTTTCCATATTTTGTGTGTGTGGCCCATGTCTTCACCAAACTCACATATGTGTATCTATCTATCCATGTATATCTATCGATCTTATCTATCGATCTTCTCTATCGGTCTTATCTATTGATCATATCTAGTTACCTATCAATTAATCAATCAATCAATCAATCAAACTATCTATCTATCTATCTATCTATCTATCTATATCTATCTATATCTATCTATATCTATCTATATCTATCTATATCTATCTATATCTATCTATATCTATCTATATCTATCTATCTCTATCTATCTCTATCTATCTCTATCTCTATCTATCTCTATCTATCTCTATCTATCTCTATCTATCTCTATCTATCTCTATCTATCTCTATCTCTCTCTATCTCTATCTATCTCTATCTATCTCTATCTATCTCTATCTATCTCTATCTATCTCTATCTATCTCTATCTATCTCTATCTATCTCTATCTATCTCTATCTATCTCTATCTATCTCTATCTATCTCTATCGATCTACCTCTATCTATCTCTATCTATCTCTATCTATCTCTATCTATCTCTATCTATCTCTATCTATCTCTATCTATCTCTATCTATCTATCTATCTATCTATCTCTATCTATCTATCTCTATCTATCTCTATCTATCTATCTATCGATCTATCTATCTATCTATCTATCTTCCTTTCTTTCTTTCTTTCTTTCTGTCTTTCTTTCTTTCTTTCTACCTATCGATCTATGCTTCTAATCTATCTCTTCATAGAGTTCCTATCTAATCTATCTATATGCCTGTCTATGTATCTATCATCCCCTTGTGAATTTCACCGGTCACCCAGTGTGTCCCATTCTGTAGAGGTACCTGGGTTCCAGTATAAGGGTACATTCTCAAAATCATTCTAAAATCAGGAAAAACCAGATTGCAAGAAATACGTCTCTATCAAGAAAAGCAGAACACCACATGGTCACAAATGCCTGCTTGTAAAAACAAAACCTCTATAAAATCTAGGGAAGGTGCTGGAGTTGGAACACCTTTTCCCCTTAAAGTCATCCACCTGGCCCACTATAAAATCAGGATTTCCAAAATGGTGGTTTTACAAAATCTTTCGCAACATGTGGACCCAAAAAATTGGGGTACCTTTCTTTGATTTTAAAGTGGAACTATTCGAAAGGGATGTCAATAGAAGCTGGACCTGGGTCCTTGATTTTATAGAACGGTTTCTTTTAGGATGATTGTGCCTAACAACATTCTCCATAATTTGCTGAATCAGGTTCAATTCAAAAAAAGAACGAAATTGAATCGAACAAAAGGAAAACAATGGCCATTTTGGGACACGTTTTGGCACCGGGATTGTTGAAGCAAAACCTCTCGATGAAATTGAAAAAATAACTCCTATTTGGGGGCCCTTCAAACCTGAATTTGCCATTTTGGAGTACTGCTGCGCCTATCTATATGGAAAGGTTTAAAGATGTTTGAAGCCTGTAATGACACAATTTTGGTGTGGCAAGGCAACGTCAACACGCGCAGTGTTGAAGCAAAACCTTTCTACATAATCGACCAAATAGTCTCTAGACTCTATTTGGGGGTCCTTCAAACCTGAAATGTTCCGTTTTGGAGCCCTGCTCTGTCACGATATGGAAAGGGGCAAAGATGTTTGAGGCCTGTAATAACCAAATTTTGGAGTTTAGAGGGCAAGGAGGCCGGAAACATATGAACAGAGCCCAGTTTCTGGAACTTTCTGATTTTATCCATATTGACCGACAAACCCCGCCTTCCGATGTCCGAATTATCCCCAATCCATGCCACTTTGAAGCTGTGAAAATGCAACGTCAACATGCGCAGTGCTGAAGCAAAACCCATCTTTAAAATCGACAAAATAGTCTCTATTTCGGGGGTCATTCGAACCTGATTTTTCCATTTTGGAATCCGGTTGTGTGACACGATATAGAAAGGGGCAAGGATGTTTGAGGCATGTGCCGCCCAAATTTTGCAGTTTGAATAGGAGGCAGGGAGGCGGAAAATATATGCACAGAGTCCAGTTTCTGGAACTGTTTGAATCTTTTTGATTTTATAGAGACCGCCTCCAAAGGCCCAACCCTGAAAAAATTACTTCACTTCGAATTATAGGACCGGATAACCCCACATGTTACCAACTTCTCTAGACTTAGACTGGGCATAGAAAAGCAAGAAGGGAAGAGGAAGTATAAGAGTGATGGAGGGGTGATGGTGGGTGAGTTTGTGTGTGTGTGTGTGTATGTATGTGCATGCACAGGTGAGTGAATGAGAATGTATGTGAGTGAGTGAGTGAGTGTATGAGTGTATGAGTGATTGCAGCGAATGAGTCAGTGATTCAAAGCAAGTAAAAGTGAATGAGTGAGTGTGAATGAGTGTGAGCACAGTGTCCCACGCCTGCCACGCAAAAGCCACCAGCAATGCACATTGTCCCACGCCTGCCGCCTGCCACGCAAAAGAGGCAGAGCCAGAGGGACGCCAGGGGTGCACATTGTCCCACGCCTGCCACGCAAAAGAGGCGGAGCCCAAGGGACGCCAGGGCGTACATCCGACCCCTTGGCAGTGCACATTGTCCCACGCCTGCCACGCAAAAGAGGCGGAGCCCAAGGGACGCCAGGGCGTACATCCGACCCCTTGGCAATGCACATTGTCCCACGCCTGCCAGGCAAAAGAGGCGGAGCCCAAGGGACGCCAGGGCGTACATCCGACCCCTTGGCAGTGCACATTGTCCCACGCCTACCACGCAAAAGAGGCGGAGCCCAAGGGACGCCAGGGCGTACATCCGACCCCTTGGCAATGCACATTGTCCCACGCCACGCAAAAGAGGCGGAGCCCAAGGGACGCCAGGGCGTACATCCGACCCCTTGGCAATGCACATTGTCCCACGCCTGCCACGCAAAATGCACATTGTCCCACGCCTGCCACGCAAAAGAGGCGGAGCCCAAGGGACGCCAGGGCGTACATCCGACCCCTTGGCAATGTACATTGTCCCACGCCTGCCACGCAAAAGAGGCGGAGCCCAGGGC